GCAGGGAGTCTGCTTCTCCCTCTGACCCTCCTCCCTCTCATGCTCTCTGTCTCTCATTCTCTCTCTCTCAAATAAATAAATTAAATAAAAAAAAAAAGATATATACTCACAAGTGAGATTGCTGGATTATATTATTCTAGTCTATTTTTAGTTTCTTAAAGAGGCTCCATACTATTTTCCTTAGTGGCTGCACCAATTTACATTCCCACCAATGATACACTAGTGTGTCCTTTTCTCCTTATCTTCACCAGCATGTGTTATCTCTTCTCTTTTTGATAATAGCCAATCTAACGGGGGTGAGGTAATATCACAGAGTTTTCACCTATGTAAAACTCCTAGGAGTTTTACAGTTTTAGGCCTTACCTCTAAGTCCATAATCCATTTTGAGTTAATTTTGTGAATGGTATAAAGTAAGGGCCCAATTTCATTCTTTTGGATGTGAATATCCAGTTTTCTCAGTACCGTTTATTGAGACTATCCTTTCCGCATTGAATATTCTTGGCTCCCTTATCAAATATTAGTTGATGGTATATGCATAGGCTTATTTCTAGGCTCTTGATCCTGTTCAATTTGCTTATGTCTTCTTTTGTGCCAGTACCATATGGTTTTGATTACTATAGCTTTGTAATGTAGCTTGAAATTAAAAAGGGTAATGACTCCACCTTTGTTCTTTCTCAAGATTGCTTTGGCTGATTGGGGTCTTTTGTGGTTCTATACGAATTTTTTGATTATTTTTTTCTATTTATGTGGAAAAATTCCATTGGCATTTTCACAGGGATTGCACTGAATGTGTAGATGGTTTTGGGTAATATGGACATTTTAACATATTACTTCTTCTGATCCATAAATATGGAACATCTTTCCATTTGTTTGTGTCTTCTTCAACTTCTTTCATCAATGTCTTATAGTTTTTGGTGTATAGATCTTTTATTTCCTTAGTAAATTTATTCCTAAGTATTTTATCGTATTTAATGCTTTGCTAAATCGGGAAACTTTTTAAAAGGGGAAACAGCAAGTTAATGAAGAATGTTCACTAAGTAAGATACATACATAAGGAACATTTTCCGTAACACATTATGAGAAGCAAAATTCTTAATCATATCTACTACAGGCTACTTGATTTCTTCATTTCAGAGAAAAAGAATGCTTGCTGATGATACAGTATTTTTTCCTATAGAAATGGCTTTTTATCAATTTTTTAAAGTTTCTTTTAGGTTATAGAGTCTCTGAAAATCTAATAGATGCTACAGACTATCTCTCCAGAAAAAGCTTATACACATGCCCAAATCCTCTCCCAAAGCCAGTAGAGACCATAAAGAAAACCCGTGCTTCAAACTATTCAAAAGGAGACAGCATGGCTTACTGTACAATGTGCCTTGAAGTCAGAACAACATGTCTCACATAGTGATAGACTAGTAATTGTTGAACACCTGAGTCTTGGGGTGGGAGAGCCAGTTCCAGGGTATAAACAATCCCACTGTGGCTGATTTAAAGCTACCTGCATAGTATGGCATCACTGAGCACAGAGTTGGGAAGACATGCACAGTAGCACACCACTGTATGGTATTCCATTCATATACATACACGAACCATAAATGTAAAAGACATCAAGTACATAGATAATAGTAAAATGTAATGAAATATTTAGAGCATGATGAGTTCTATGTATTACCTTTTTAAATATAATTTATGTAATCATAAGTTTATATAATTTAATTTTTACTAATGGCCGTATTTAACAATATCTTGCAAATTTCCTGAAAATTTCACAAGAAACTCTCACTGGTTCAGCACAGCACTGGCTTGGCTCCTCATGGAGTCTCCAAATAAGTCTTATAGTTGTCATAAGAATTGAAGACAGGTAATGCAATACGCAGAAGTTTCTGAATAAAGCAAGTAATTATAAATGAAAGTATTGTTGCTATTACTATTAACGAGTAACTTTACACACAAAAGCTATTCTTCTTATTTTAGCCAGTGACACAAGAGAATTAATATTTTTCTGTAATTTTCTGTGTTACTGTTCAATAAATGGGGACAGAGGAATGCACTTTGTTCCTTCCAGTGTAAGTGATGTTGACAATAAATTCAGTTTTGAAAAGTACACTCACATACTTGCTATATGATAAATGAGTCCAATAATATCACATTATAAATGGAACTTGATGATTTCAATATAATATACTTCATAAGTGGTATTTTATTGGGTTAAACTTCCCATGGAATAGCATATAATTTTCTCCACAATATACTAACGGTTCACTTGGTCACCGAAGTTTTTAAATTTATTTTCTTTTATCTACACTGGGCCGATTTTAGGTGCTTAGAGAATAACTGGATTTCAATTCAAGTTTATATGCTCTCATTAAAATAATAATCCTTGCTTTTTAAAAAATTCATTTAAAAATATATTTTATCTTGTTCTCATTTCCTTTTCCCTCTCTAAATGTGACAATATTAAAAGTAGTACTGCAGCTGTTTTGACAAGCTACTTAACCATTGAGACACAAGAAGGGAACAGCAACATCCAGTGAATGTTTTTTTTTTAAGTTCCATAAATTGCCCCTTTGTTTCTATGATATGTCGATAGACTGCAGATACTGTGTGTTTCTCTATATCATTCTCCTACAGCAGGATGAAACTGCCAGGACCCCTTCTAGAAGGTAATCATTTATGGAATAACCACAAATGCGATCAATCAAGTCATTCCAATGGAGCAATAGCCAGTATGACCTCAACAGACTTCGGCTTTTGGAGCCAGATCGCTTTAGTGACAGACATAACCCTGGTGGGTCGGCAGCATCCTTCACTGCTCACTCTGCCATCTGCCACTGTGGAAACTTCATCATTAAAGGCAGAGTTGTGCTGGACAAATTTGCAAATGGTTTTGAGAGCATTATTATTGCACAGAATGTTACCATCTGTAAGTAGGCAAATCTGAATTAAACAATGTATGTCTACCTAACTTTCTTTCTCTGTGTATATCTTAATAGAAAATGTGCATGCATTAATCTCAAAATTGGAACATTTCAAAAAGGAACATTTCCTTTGTATGATGGAATTAGAGCCTTGCAAAGGACCTTGAGAGCTTAACTTCTGACTTTTAAATACATCTGCATTTAAACTATGACAGATCCAAGAATATCTATGTTATTTTGCCTGTCCTTCTTCACAAAGTATTTTTAATTGTCTGATTTAACTCACATTTTCTATTGCATTATCATATTATTATCAAATATTCCCATTTCCATATATATGTATGTATGCTTTTTAAAAAAATATTTCAGCTGTATCTTTGAGATAGCACCAGCTACCCTCCTGCAACTTTCAATGCCATGAAATAAATTATAGAGATTATAAAGACAAATTAATGAAAACCTTTAAACCAGAATTTTCAATTCATAAGCCAGGACTGTTTTATACATATGATATGTATGAGATATATATTATGTATGTATATATTTATATATATTCATATTCTTTAGGTCCTACTACATAGGATTAAGATTAATATAATTGTTATTGTATAAGTATAATAATATAGTATTTTATATTATGTTGTTATATTATTATTATTATATTTTTATAATTGTCAGTGTACAGACGAGGTAACCAAGGGCAACTTGCTGCTCAGGACCACACAGTTTGTAAGCTATAGATTAGAGATTTTTAACTCAGCCTATCTGGGTCTAGAATCTGTTATCACCTGATCAGAGTCTGGATCTCTAGAGTTTAAAAAGATGTTCGTAGATGCTCTGTGGTAATGATGGAAGTAGAAGAAGGTGTTCTATGGACACAAAAAGTAAAGAATGGCATTATAGAATTTTCCGTACCAAGTGTTAGTGCTCAAATGTACTGCCCAAATACACTCACTTTTCACTGTTGAATTTTAAAGACAGAAGGAAAATATCAAAGAGATACAAAGTACCTAATTTATTATAAATATAAGGTTAAGTTCCTAGTACTTGCCCAAGATGTTTGCTTTGGAGAAAGTCTTTTACTCCATCATGTAATTGTTCTGGGATTGTTATCCTGGTCATCTACTCTGGACAGTCAGATGCTGTATCTACCTAGTCTCAAACAGAAGAACCTGAACAGAGAGGTAGGAGGTTAACCTGGCCTGCATGAATGGAGGCAAGGCACTGGCAAATCATGTGTGGAGCACAAGATCCTATCTTTAAGTCACAGTAAACCTTCCCATTTAAAAACCTGGCCTAATGCTTTTCTCATTGTCTGACAAATCACAATCCCCTCTCTCTTCTGTGTGGAAAAGCTAATAAAAATAAAGCATAGAGAGAGGGCAGAGGCTTAGATGGATATTTTGTCATGTGAGGAATAATGGAAAACCATGAACAGATATTCAAAAAACTACCTCTTCAATTCTCACTATGGTACATCTTTGATATTAGAAAACATCTTCGCGGGGCACCTGGGTGGCTCAGTTGTTAAGCGTCTGCCTTCGGCTCAGGTCATGATCCCAGCGTCCTGGGATCGTGCCCCACATCAGGCTCTCTGCTCCGCAGGACGCCTGCTTCTGCCTCTCCCACTCCCCCTGCTTGTGTTCCCTCTCTCGCTGTGTCTCTCTCTGTCAAATAAATAAA